AAGCCCCTTCCTCTGGCCGAGACCTTCCCCAGCTGCAGAGCTTTGAGCTCCCTGAAAGGGGGATGGGGTGAGGTCTGGGGTGCTTCCCCGCTGCTTCCTGGGCTCCTTCTCCCCCTTGGCAGCGCAAGCCCTGGGGCTCGCCCTGGGGCTCACCCCGGGATGTGTTCCCTTTCAGCCGAGGAGTCGCTGGCCTGCGATAACCCAGGATTGCCAGAAAACGGCTACCAAATACTTTACAAGCGCCTCTACTTGCCAGGAGAGTCCTTGACCTTCATGTGCTATGAGGGCTTTGAACTCATGGGGGAGGTTACCATCAAGTGCATCCTGGGCCAGCCATCCCACTGGAGCGGACCCCTGCCCATCTGCAAAGGTAATGGCGGGGGCGGCTGGGGGGTGTGGGGACAGCCAGCGCCTCTGTCCCCAAGTCGGGACAGTCCAGGCACCTTCATCTGGCTGCAGACCCCCAGCGGTTCTCTAGCTGCGAGCTAAACTCATCCGAGACCTGGGTGCTCCTCTGGATTTGTGCTGAGCAGGCTCTGCTGCCCCAGAGAGGGGGAGGAGACCCTCTGGCCACCCTGCTGGTGGGGGGAGGCATGCGGGGTGGGCCTGGCCGCTCACTTGCTCTTCTCGCTTTGTAGCCCCCCGCAGCGGTTTGCCCCAGCGCAGCGGGAATGCTCTCCTTGGGCGCCCGCTGAGGCGGGAGAGCTCAGCCCCAGGAAACCCTCCAGGCGCTGGTCTGAATAAGGCCTGGGTTTAGTGTGCTTTCTGGACACGGGAGGACCCTCCCGTTGCCACTAAGCTGCAGGGATGAATTGTTCATTGCTACTCAATAAGTGGAGACCACGTCTCCCGGGTTCTCTGGAGGGCACCAGCGCCCCAGGCAGAGCCGTCCTGCCGGCACCTCACTCGCCCAGCCCACTCGGTCCCATACAATCACCCACATAGCCTGAGAGCTGGTTAAAAACGGAAAGTTTGCAGCGTGGCTTGGGGCCAAACAGGGCAGCAAGACCCCAGGCCTAAGCTCCCCGTGCAGCCAACAGCTGCCAGCGCCCAGTCAAACCCAGTTACGTACCAATAACTCTCTATTTCTCTTCCAGTGAATCAAGACAGCTTTGAACATGCCCTGGAAGGTGAGTGGTGTGCATTCGCTGGATGAGCCTCAGGCAGGGTGCTCAGCCAGAGCCTGTATGGAGCCCAGGAGGAGGGAGGGGAGAACTGGAGGCAGAGAGGGGCTCAGGAGGTGCTTGTGCATGCCAACATAATAGACCTTGTCCTTTCAGTAGCAGAAGCTGCTGCAGAGACATCGCTTGAGGGGGGAAACATGGCCTTAGCCATATTCATCCCAGTGCTGATCATCTCCTTGCTGCTGGGAGGAGCGTACATCTATCTCACAAGGTGGGCTGGGGAGCTGGCGGCAGAGCCCCGTGGGGCCGTGGCCAGGGCTGGCTCAGCGTCACCGTGCCCTCACCAGCCACAGGTCCCGGGCACGGTGCTGGGGAGCCGGGCAGCGAGCTCTTGCTCCGGGGTCTCTGGAGAGCTGGCGGGGAGCTGGGATGGGGGGAACGTGGGAGGACGGGGCTGGTCATGCTCTGTTCTGGGGTCGTGCTGTGCAGCCCCGTGACTCGTGTCTCCCCCGCAGGTGTCGGTACTACTCCAGCCTCCGCCTGCCCCTCATGTACTCCCACCCCTACAGCCAGATCACAGTAGAAACAGAATTCGACAACCCAATTTATGAGACAGGGGTGAGTCCAGCTGTGCCCATTCCCCCCCTGGGGTCCATCCTGATGAGGCAGAGAGGGTTTCGCCGGGCGTGCAGCAACGGGACGAGCCCACCCATCCTGATGCAGGAGCGCCGAGTAACGGGGCGGGGGGGTCCATCCCTGTCGGTCGCTCCCGAGGGGCCGGGTGGGCTCTGGCGGGCAGGAGGAGATGGAGGGGGCTGCAGGGAGGGCTTTGCTTCCCCGGGAGCAAAACAGCACCCAGGGCCCCTTTTGCTGCCTGGAAATGGGGAGATCATCCCAAAACGCAGCTGCTGCCCTCAACTGGCTTTTCCTCCTTTTCAGGAAACAAGAGAATACGAAGTTTCGATATAAGGACAGTGGTAAGAGAGTCTCCGGCTGCGAACTTAATGTGCTCTCATAGAACTTCCTCAGTAACTAATCCAGAGACCACGTGGAGTTTGGTTGGACCCCCCGGACCTGCTGTTGTCTTTCCTTTTGCCTCTTTATTGAAGATTTTACTGTTTTCTTCACTGTATTTATTCTATTTAAACTGCGATAGGTGTGCTGCAGAGCCCTGGGCGCAGGCAGCAGCGGGAGCCGGGGCAGAACCAGGTCCCGGCAAGGCCAGGGCGGCTCGGGGGCACCCACTGTCCTCCCCCCGGCACGGCGGCGCGTCCCCCGGCACTGCCCACACACACGCAGAGGGATTTTTGCGGTTCTGATGTTGTTAAAAATTAAAGATGTCTCCATTGCAAGAGCCTGCAGTTGATTGCTGGGAGCTGAGGTAGGTGCAGGGTTTGCCGCAGGGTCCCGCCAGCGCTGCCAGCCCTGCCCAGCCCGCAGCTCCCCACTCCCCTTGCCCCAAGCGGGAGCTGCTGCTGGGGGCTGGGGGCTTGTGTGCCACCGGCCCGGCGACCGTCCTCGCTGTGGGGAAGTGGAGCACGGCTCAGGAAAGCTGCCGGCCGGCACGGAGCCCCGCTTGCCATGCCGGGGAGCAGGGGACGGCCTGGCACATACGAGGTACGCGCCACTTTCTTTTCCCACTTTGCTTTGGATGCTGGAGAGGCAGCGAGCCAGGACTCACAGCTCTGCGGAGAAGCATTAACCAGTGACCCCACAGCAGCCCACTACCCGGGAGCTATGGGAAACTTTCCTGGGCACCGGGAGTGGAGCAGCCGGTGCCCCTTGCTCACACCAATTGTTCCTCTTCAGTAACACTGGCCCTTGCCAGGAAAACCCTGGTCCCGCTCACGGCCGGAGGTCCCTCCTTGCCCCCTGGTAGCACCTCAGGGTAAGCA